AAAAAAAAAAAAAAAAAAAGAAAATCTGATTTTCCACCTGCTGCTTCTGGAACTTATTTTCCTATTTGTTCTAGCTTTCTATTCCCTCTTCAGCTTTCCTATTAATAACCTCCATGGTTTGGTTTACAGACATGCCTGTTCCTAGCTGTGTTTTGCTCTGAAAAAGAGCCCTGTGCACCTTACTTGGTTAGCAGACTAGAGGGCAGGAACATTGGCAATCCGCTCTACAATGCTGGATCTGCAGCTACTCCACGTTTAGGAATTTTTAAAATAGATTTTTCCCCATGCTTTATTGGATATCACTTATAAGGAGAAGAAATTCCCAGATCTCTGTAGAAGAATAGAGTTACCAACCTTCTAAAGCATAGTTGGTGCATCTTGTGGATCTTAGCAAACATTTATGGTTTAAAATAATAGAAAGTCGATAAACGATTATTTTCTTATACCCCATCTGCTTATTTTTTTAATTAAAGGCAAGTGGTCAGAATGTAAAAATAAAAAAACTTCATGTCAAAGGAAAGAAGACAAATGAGTCCAGGAAAAACAAGAAAGGGACGGTTGCTGGGGACACTGAGGATGAAGACTCTGCTTCCACAAGCAGCTCCCTGAGAAGAGGAAGCAGAGATTTCAAAAAGAGGAAAATGGAGGAGAGCCCTTCCGTCAGCTTATCTAAAGTAGAAAGTGCTCCTTCTGTTAAGAAACCCAAAAGAGACGACGCCAAGGACCTGGCTCTTTGCAGGTATCTTTTCTTCCCTTCGGTTTTTAAATTTAGTTTGCGGAATGCCAACTGCAGGTACCGATTTCAAACATTATTTTCTGTAGTGTGATCCTGAATGAAATGGAAACTCATGAGGATGCCTGGCCTTTTCTACTTCCGGTAAACTTGAAGCTTGTACCTGGGTACAAGAAAGTCATCAAGAAGCCTATGGATTTTTCTACAATCAGAGAAAAGCTAAACAATGGACAGTAAGTACATCGTTTCTGTTCAGCACAGTAGTGAGTATTGAGAATGAAGGATTAACACGGTCGCTGTCATGGCATCTGTAGAAGCTACGAAAGCTCATTTTTATGGGACGTAGGAAATGTTTCCTCTCTTTAGCAGTGCAGCTCTGTGCTGTGCAGTCAGTGGGGTCACAGGGTGGCTGGAGGATGTGTGACGCGGTGGAGTTGGGAAGTTCTCTGGCAGAACGGTAAGAAGTCAGATAGTAAATGGGATTGTGGGAAACTTCTGTTTTCGCTTCAGGGTAAGGTCTTACTTGTAGCTGAGGCTGACCTCGAACTTGCAATCCTCCAGTCTCCGCCAGCCGGGTGTGGTACCATGCCTGTCCTGGAGACCCAGCCTTGCAGAGCACGGTGAATGTTTCATGCATGCATGGACTTAGACATGTTCAGTGTGGTCATCCAGTTCTCCGGCTTTCCTTTTACTTCCTCTTTAACTCTGCTTCCTGTGGTTGGTTTGTAGTCCTGAGAAGTGTCAGCGGCCTGTAACGGTGTGTTTTCTTTCAGGTACGCCAGCTTTGAGACCTTTGCTCTAGATGTCAGGCTTGTGTTTGACAACTGTGAGACATTTAATGAAGATGACTCCGACATAGGCCGAGCTGGCCACAGGATGAGGAAGTACTTTGAAAAAAAGTGGACAGATACCTTCAAAGTGAGCTGAAGTTGTAATCTCCTTTTTCTCCTTTTCCTTTTCAACAAGGACAAACAAGACCAGCAATGTGAACTGCATTTACACAGATGTGCAAGGCACATGCGTACTAACTTTTTTCCTTGAAATGAG